GGTCGAGCTCGCGCATCAAGTGCGCGACATTGTCATCGACCGAGTCGGAGTACGTGGCGGCCACGGATGCCGGCAAGGAGGGGCGTCGACTTCGCTTCCTCGCGGAATTCAAGCTCCTCGACGCTGGGAAGCCGACCGTCCTCCGCGTCGACAACAACTCGGCAATCACGGTCGCTGAGGGCTTGGGGCTGACGGGCAACCTCAAGCACATGGAGCGACGCTACGCCTGGCTGCAACACATGGTGAGGCGCGGGAAATTCGTGCTGAAGTACATCCCGACCACCGAGCAGCCGGCGGACTTCCTGACGAAGGCGCTGCATTTTCCGGCTTTCAACCGGTGCTCTGTCACCATCGGCCAAGTTCGTCCATCCGACGTCGGCGACGGCGACGATGAGGTGCAGCAGTAGGTGCCATGCCCTTTTGCATGGCTGGTGCGGTGACGACGTGCTGTGTGTGGGGTGCACGCCGAGGATGAGTTTTGTCTCCGTGGAGTACTGCCGTGTGGGCTGGAGGCCAAAGCGTGAGCGCGGCAGGGGAGTGTTAATAGGAATGGAGTGTTGGCCCCGCCCTCGCTTGAGCAACGCCGACGACTTGGTCGGATGCACGGGAGTAGCAAACCGACCATTCACAGTGGGAGAGCTGTTCGACAGGCTTCGAGCTGCAGGGGACCGATGTGGTGTTGCTGTCGACTAGGGAGCTCGACAGCTGCAACTGACTGGTCTGGGCGACGGGTGGGACGTCGACCAGGACCTGCAGTTCGACTGGGAGGTCGACGGAGCAGTCCGTCGACCTGACAAGTGAGCAGCGGTCGACGAGGGGAGCTCGGCGAGAGTTGTGGTCGACCAGAGGGACCTGGTGGTCGACCGGAAGCACCTGGTGGTCGATCGGGTCGACTGCCCTTAGCCAGAGCACACATGTTGACCGACTGCCCTTAGCCAAAGCACACATGTTGACCGACTGCCCTTAGCCAGAGCACACATGTTGACCGACTGCCCTTAGCCAGAGCACACATGTTGACCGACTGCCCTTAGCTAGAGCACACATGTTGACCGACTGCCCTTAGCCAGAGCACACATGTTGACCGACTGCCCTTAGCCAGAGCACACATGTTGACCGACTGCCCTTAGCCAGAGCACACATGTTGACCGACTGCCCTTAGCTAGAGCACACATGTTGACCGACTGCCCTTAGCCAGAGCACACATGTTGACAGACTGCCCTTAGCCAGAGCACACATGTTGACCGACTGCCCTTAGCCAGAGCACACATGTTGACCGACTGCCCTTAGCCAGAGCACACATGTTGACCGACTGCCCTTAGCCAGTGCACACATGTTGACCGACTGCCCTTAGCCAGAGCACACATGTTGACCGACTGCCCTTAGCCAGTGCACACATGTTGACCGACTGCCCTTAGCCAGAGCACACATGTTGACCGACTGCCCTTAGCCAGAGCACACATGTTGACCGACTGCCCTTAGCCAGAGCACACATGTTGACCGACTGCCCTTAGCCAGAGCACACATGTTGACCGACTGCCCTTAGCCAGAGCACACATGTTGACCGACTGCCCTTAGCCAGAGCACACATGTTGACCGACTGCCCTTAGCCAGAGCACACATGTTGACCGACTGCCCTTAGCCAGAGCACACATGTTGACCGACTGCCCTTAGCCAGTGCACACATGTTGACCGACTGCCCTTAGCCAGAGCATACATGTTGACCGACTGCCCTTAGCCAGTGCACACATGTTGACCGACTGCCCTTAGCCAGAGCACACATGTTGACCGACTGCCCTTAGCCAGTGCACACATGTTGACCGACTGCCCTTGGGTTTCAATGTACAAGCATGTTGCTGTCACATGAAACACATGATGCGTGTCCCATTATAAGCACACCTCGCCAGAGAAGCACATGTTACCTTACCTTAAACCCACATGCCACCTAATCAGCTCCCCACTTGATGACTGCGTGGTTCTGGCTGTCCTCCCCCAGAAGGGCAGGTCGTTGAAATGGCGGGGCTGACCCGCCAACAGGAACAGAAAGAAGAAGCAAGCTTTGCCCGGGTCGTCCGTCCGTGCGCCACCTGCCGCGTGTGGGTAAGGGTGGGGGGCGTGGAGGGTGCATGTGGGGGCAGCGTAGTAACGTGTGTGGGGCATAAGATGGTGGTGGTGATGGCAAAGAATAGGGATGATTATAGGAAGGAGGGGATGATGTTGACTCACAGTGACTGGAAGTACAAGATCAGCACATTGTATCAAATCAGCACCCGGTGGTATCAAATCAGCACCCAGTGGTTTGAAATCCTCACCTTGCAGTATCATATCAACACCCTGTGGTATCAAATCAACACCTTGTGGTATCATATCAACACCCTGTGGTATCAAATCAACACCTTGTGGTATCATATCAACACCCTGTGGTATCAAATCAACACCTTGTGGTATCAAATCAGCACCTTGTGGTATCATATCAACACCTTGTGGTATCAAATCAGCACCTTGTGGTATCAAATCAGCACCTTGTGGTATCAAATCAGCACCTTGTGGTATCAAATCAGCACCTTGTGGTATCAAATCAGCACCTTGTGGTATCAAATCAGCACCTTGTGGTATCAAATCAACACTTGTGGTATCAAATCAGCACCTTGTGGTATCAAATCAGCACCTTGTGGTATCAAATCAGCACCTTGTGGTATCAAATCAGCACCTTTTGGTATCAAATCAGCACCTTGCAGCACTTGGAGCCGGGCCAGTAGGAGTAGACGAGGAGCTCGTGGGCGGGTGGGAGGGACGGTGGGGGTACGGCAGCGCAGAGGGAGAGGGGAGGGGAGGGAAAAGGGGGGGGCTATCACGAGGCAGGAGACGAGCGAGGAGGGGAGAGGGCAGGGAGAAGGGGAAAGCGCGTAGCACCTGGCGGTTGATGAGGCGCATGCAGCGGAGGAGGAGCAGCGAGGTGGCGGCGACCGCCAGCAGCACCGCAACGCCCATCAGCGCCGCCGCCATCGCGCCTCACGTCCACCGCTCGCCCGCCGACCGCCACCGCCCGCGCGACAGCGGCTTGGCGACGGGGCTGGGCGCAATGGCGGGCGGCATGGCGGCGTCTGCGGGGCGTCAGAGGCCTGGGCGCTGAGCGGAGATGGCGACCCATGGCTGGTGCGCTTGGTGAATCATTGCGGCTCCTCATTGACAACTCATGCTGCATACGTGGACGTACAGAAACGCGTTTCGCCTGGGTGACTGTTGCGAGGATGGGGGGACTGGCAACAATGAACTAATGCGTGAAAGGCAGTCATAGGGGTGCGTTTTATGTAACTGGATTCAACTGCTTCGATCGCGTTTTATGCATCCGAAGGGAAATGTACAATGGCCAAGTTACAATCCTATGTAGAATGTTTTCCCCTGTGATGCTAAAGAGTGTTGCCTAGTCAGGTTCAGAATAAAAAAGAACATGGTTCTTACTACGTTGGTGAATTCGTATTTTACACAGGTATGTTGATATAATACGTATAATTACTGTAATTGAGAACAAATTACAGCTAAGGTAATAATACGTAGCTAATTACTGTTATTTCTGAATATTGCTAGATTGGCGACACCTCCGAGCTGCTTGTATCGGAGCATTACTGATTTGACATCCCCCTGTCACGGCGACACATCCGATCACTATTGGACTCCCGCCTGCCCTCTCCTCCCCATCGCTCCTCAAGCGCGACGAAGCTTGTCGCATCGTCGTCACTATCGAGGCGAACCGGTGCCTTACCCACCAGTCGCCGTCGTGGATTGCGACGGGCCACCAGCGCAGCATGCCCGCCCACACATCTCCCTCATTCGCCTCCCGTCAGGCGACGGGCAGCCCAACTCCCCGCCAGCCCGCGCCGTTGCTTTCCACGATGTTCCGCCGTTCCGCCTCTGAGTGCGACCGGTGCGCCGTTGGCGGGCCTCTGACGGGTCAGCGGCGGCGCGTCGCACCGCTAGGCGCTGGTGGGAGCTGGCCAGCCCGGCCCCGTCTGATGTTGATGTTGCCACTCCCTCCCGTCGCCCTCCATCGCTCTGGCCCTCGCAGATTTTTGCTCTTTGTTGGCGAGAACGGGGGGTATGGGGGGAACGACGGTGAGGAGGGGCGGGTGAATGCGGAGGGCGCGTGGCACGGATGGCGCGGGACGGCCCTGCTGGCTGCACGCATCGGAAATAGAGAAGCGCTTGTCCGTCGTTTGTGCTGTGCGCGGCTCGACTAGTTGTCGCGCTCGTGTAGTGTGCTCTTGCTGCTGCGAGACAGATCAAGGCCCTGGAGCATCGCAGCAATCGTCTCCACTTCCCGCCGCTATTGCATTGCTCTTCCCAATCGAACAGCTCCCTGCCTCAGTGTTTGATCATAATCGGCACGCCGCGCCACGCGGCGCTAGTCGATCGTGTCGTCACCCGCTGTTTGCACGGCCGCGCCACGCGGCTCTCGCGCCCTCGCAGCGCTGTTGCCTCGCACCCCGCATCTCGCGGCGATGGATACGCGGCACCACTTCCCCGCCGCGCGGCACCTCGCGTGCTTCGCGTCGTTCGCGTCGCCCACCCCCTCGCTCACCCCGCTCGTCGTCCCCGCCGACCCCGCCGCTCCCACCGCCGACGACCCCTTCCCGTGCGCCGCGAACGCATCGCCTTACGCGTCGCCTGGCGCGGAGGGCTCTCTTAACGGAGACGGGCATAGCGAGGAAGGCAGCGCTGATGCGGAGAACGTGGGGGATCGCGCAGGGCGGGTAGGAAGGGGCGCGCGCATGTGCGAGGAGTACGTGGCGGCGTGCGCCGCCGTCATGCGCCACCGCCACGCCCACGACCACCATGCGCCCTCCGCATCCGCCTCCGCCGCCTCTTCTGCCTCCGCCGTGTCCTCCGCCCCGCCTGTCTCGCCTGTCTCTCCCGCGCACCCGTGGATCGAATTGGCTGCTGAGACCAGCAGTGACGTCACCACGGACATCAGCAGTGACGTCAGCGCGGAGATACGCAGCGGCATGAGCGTGAGCGCCACCCGGCGGCCCTTTGGCTCGCCCATCACCATGACCCCTGCCTCCTCCGCTGCCTCCTCCGCTGCTGCTGCTGCTGAAGATTCTGCTGCTGCGGACCGTTATGGTGGGAAAGCTAGCGATGGTGCTGCGTGGTGGGGTGGCGGTGGTGGAGAGGATTGCGGGGGTGAGGGGCGGGTGGTGCAGCAGTTCCATGTGCGCACGGAGGGCCTCTCTTACACGGTGAGTGGGGGGAGTGTGTGGGAAGGAAGGCGAGGGGTGCGTCGGGGCTAAGAGTGAGGTGCATCGTACACACACATTGCCTATTGTCTCCTTCGCCTCCCTCCTTTCCCACTGCCCTCTCTCTCATCCCCATTGAAGACCCTCCCTCCGCATTCTTCCTTCTCCGTCCTCACCTCTCCCCTTTCCTCTCCCTCCTCCCCTCCCTGTCCCCTGTCCCCCCCGCCCTCGCCCTTCTTCCCCCTCGCAGGCCGTCAACGGGCGCACCATTCTGAACCGAGTGAGCGTGGCGGCTCATCCCGGGCAGCTGCTCGCGCTCGCAGGGCCCTCGGGCAGCGGAAAAACGTCCCTGCTGGACGCCATTGGCTGCCGCATTGATCCGGGCAGCCTGTCGGGGTCCATCCTGGTGAACGACCGCCCCATGCCGCCCAGCTTCCGCAAGCACTCTGCCTACGTGCTGCAGGTGGGTGCCGCAGTCTGGTGCAGGTGGGTGGGTGCGGTACAGAGGGGTGGCTGGGTGGACTGCAGGAGGGTGGGTGGGTGCATCCCCTGCCTGTGCCGCGTGCTCCCTGCCTCCTTCCTACCAGCCCCTGCCCCAACTTCTCCCCCCCCTCCCCCCCCTCCCCCCCCTCTCCCCCCTCTCCCCCCCACCTTGTCAGGACGACGCCCTCTTCGCGCTGCTCTCCGTGCGCGAGACGCTTGACTTTGCCGCCCGCCTGCGCCTGCCGTCCACCGTGACGCCGGCCGCGCGGCAGCAGCGAGTGCAGCAGCTGGTGCAGCAGCTGGGGCTCACCGCGTGTGCCGACACGCCCGTGGGGGACGACCTGGTGAGTGGGCCGACCAGGTGGGTGCCTTGGATGGGGGGGGACCACTGGGTGGGTAATTTCTGGGGCGCCTCAAAAGCAGCTGCTGCAGCAGTGCGCGGGGTGGGGACGAGATGCGTGCCTTGTGAGGAGGGCGTCCTGCTGGGCTGGGTGTCTTGTGGGTGGGAGGGGCAAGCGTGTCTTGTGAGGAGGGTGTCTTGTGGGTGGGAGGGGCAAGCGTGTCTTGTGAGGAGGGTGTCTTGTGGGTGGGAGGGGCAAGCGTGTCTTGTGAGGAGGGTGTCTTGTGGGTGGGAGGGGCAAGCGTGTCTTGTGAGGAGGGTGTCTTGTGGGTGGGAGGGGCAAGCGTGTGGTGCCTCTGGATTCGTGCGCCGCGCGTGTGTAGGTTGACCTGGCGTGTGTGGAGCAGCACCACATCACGTCACCACCAACTCATTGTATTTCTTCACCTCTGCTCTCCGTTCCTCTCCACTGCCACAGCCCCTCCGCACCTCGTGCACCACCTGCATGCTTGCTCGCTCCTATGCTCCTTGCTGTCACATCCACTCCGCCTTCCTTCCCCCCATTCCTACAAACACTGCCTCCTCCATCGTGTGTCCCCACCCCTTCCTCTACTGGACATTTTAGTCATGAATCACAAGGGGTTTAAGGAAACTGCCTTAGTCATGAATCACAAGGGGTTTAAGGAAACTGCCTTAGTCATGAATCACAAGGGGTTTAAGGAAACTGCCTTAGTCATGAATCACAAGGGGTTTAAGGAAACTGCCTTAGTCATGAATCACAAGGGGTTTAAGGAAACTGCCTTAGTCATGAATCACAAGGGGTTTAAGGAAACTGCCTTAGTCATGAATCACAAGGGGTTTAAGGAAACTGCCTTAGTCATGAATCACAAGGGGTTTAAGGAAACTGCCTTGTCCCACACTCCTCTGCCCCCCTTGCCCCCTTTGCCCCCCATTGCCCCGTATGCCATGGCAGCACCGGGGGGTGTCAGGGGGGGAGAGGAGGCGCACGTCCATCGGGGTGGAGCTCATTCACAACCCTGCCGTGCTGCTGCTCGACGAACCCACCTCAGGTGATGCCTGCTGCTCGATGAACCCACCTCAGGTGATGCCTGCTGCTCGATGAACCCACTTCAGGTGATGCCTGCTGCTCGATGAACCCACCTCAAGTGATGCCTGCTGCTCGATGAACCCACCTCAGGTGATGCCTGCTGCTCAATGAACCCACCTCAGGTGATGCCTGCTGCTCGATGAACCCACCTCAGGTGATGCCTGCTGCTCGATGAACCCACCTCAGGTGATGCCTGCTGCTCGATGAACCCACCTCAGGTGATGCCTGCTGCTCGATGAACCCACCTCAGGTGATGCCTGCTGCTCGATGAACCCACCTCAGGTGATGCCTGCTGCTCGATGAACCCACCTCAGGTGATGCCTGCTGCTCGATGAACCCACCTCAGGTGATGCCTGCTGCTCGATGAACCCACCTCAGGTGATGCCTGCTGCTCGATGAACCCACCTCAGGTCCACACCACACACTTCCGCCTCCTATGCTCGTGCTGCCGTTTCTCTGCCCGTTCTCTCGGCCCTCTCTGGGCATCGGTGCTTCTCTTTGTGTGCTCAGTCCTTCACTGCGCCCCCTACCCTACGCCTTGCTCACAGCACCACCCAGTCCGCCACCCATACCTGCTCGCGCCTTGCTCCTTCTGTCATGTGCCTCTCCCTTCTACGCCCAGTCATGTGCCTCTCCCTTCTACGCCCAGTCATGTGCCTCTCCCTTCTACGCCCAGTCATGTGCCTCTCCCTTCTACGCCCAGTCATGTGCCTCTCCCTTCTACGCCCCTCTACCGCCTCCCCTGTGCCTCGCCCCTCACCAAAGCTCACCGCCCCTCCCCGCCCTCACCGCCACTGGTGTGCCCGTGGCAGGGCTGGACAGCGCGTCGGCGCTCAAGGTGGTGCAGCTGCTGCACAACATGGCCGTTCAGGTGGGCACCACATTCAGTGTGCTCCAAGTGCTTTCTCAGGTGTTTTTTTTCGTCATGAAGTTGCTGCAGAAGATGGTTGGTGAGGTGGAGAGGAGGGGACAATGCCCCCTTCCAATCGTCAGCTCAACGGCACGCTGCGCTGATTATGTGATCCTCATGCAACGGGAAAACTGCCTTAATTGGTTCGATATGGACCTTCACGCTCACTTGTCAAACATGCACTCTGGCTGATCCCCCCATCGCTCTCTCCTCCTGCTCCCACAGCATCGCAACTCACACCCTTGCTCACTCTTTCCTGCGTGCCTCCCATCCCGCCTCCCATCCCGCCTCGTTCTCTGCTAACCCAACTCCACGCGGCAAGGCGCACGTGGCGGTGACCATCCATGCACACCCCGCTACCCCTCCAAGCCCGCCCCCACGGGGGGTGGGTAAACGGCCGTGCTGACGGTCAACACCATTCCAGCTCCCCTATAGCTTTCCTTCCTCCGTCTCACCGCTTCCTCTTTTCCCTCCTCCCCATCACAGGGCGGGCGAACAGTGGTGTTGACCATCCACCAGCCGTCGTTCCGCATCACGGCGCTGCTGCACCGCATGGCGCTGCTCATCAGCGGCACCGTTGCCTTCCACGGCGCCACGCCCGCTCTGCGCTGCCACCTCGCAGTGCTGCACCACCCCGTGCCCCCGCATGTGAGTCGTGAGGGGTGCCTGTGAGCTCTGCCGCATGTAAGCTCTCTCCTCATCAGCCCCCAGGTCGCCTTCCACTGTGCCACGCCCGCCCTGCCGCAGGTAAGCCCTGCCGCAAATAAGCCCTGCCGCAAATAAGCCCTGCCGCAAATAAGCCCTGCCGCAAATAAGCCCTGCCGCAATTAAGCCCTGCCTCAAATAAGCCCTGCCGCAAATAAGCCCTGCCGCAAATAAGCCCTGCCGCAAAATAAGCCCTGCCGCAAAATAAGCCCCTATGCCGTGGCCCCATGTGAATGCACTCGTCCTAGACATGAGCACAAGACGAGTCGAGACAGGCTGTGGCTCGCCCTGCCCTTGAGAGCCCAGCCCAGCCAAGCCATGGTGAGCCCACCAGTGCCGGCACTTGCCTCGTGCTTTGGGAAATATACCCGAGCACCAGTAAAGCACTCGCGTCGAGCCACAATTGCTCGTGTCGAGCCGAGCCAGGCTCGATTTGAGCTGTCATTTATTGCTTCCCCTCCCTTTCCTATGTGCTCTCACCTCGCCCTCTTGTTGCTGCTATTTCTCCCGCCACTGGTGCTGCGCGTGCAGGTGTTCCCTGCTCGGAATGAGTGCGGCAGTTCCGTTCCCCGCACTGGGCCGTTTGCTAGCTTTTGGCACCATTCCTATTGGACATGAAATTCGTCCGTTACACAAAACCAACCAGACTACGATTTTAAGTCTGACTATTCATGAGCGCACTGATGATCCTGTTGGTAATACTGTCACATTCTCATTCTGACGAGTCTCGCCCCTCCCACCACCCACGTACTAAAAGCAGCGTGCCAACACCCCTTTCCTTGTGGCTGGCAGGTGAACCTCTTAGAGTTCGCTCTTGACACTCTGCCCCGCATCGCTGCTGCTGCCACTCGTGCCAAGGTGAGTTCTGTTACTCTGCGTTTTACCATGCACACACATGCACACACATGCACACACATGCACACACCCACACAAACCCATACACCCACATTTACAAGCACAAGTGGCCCCATCATTTCTCGTTTCTACTTTCACTCCACCGTCTCATATTTCCATGCCTTCCATGTCTCTGCATCGCCTCACGCCCTTCCATGTCTCCATGAATCCCTTGGCGTCTCTCCTCCTCAGCAGTCAGAGGCCCACACGGACACTCCCCCTGCCGCGCCCTCCCTGGGAGCTGCCCTGAAGCACCAGCTAGGGAAGCTGCTGGGGAGGGGGAAGGGGTGCTCGGGGGGTGGGGGCAGAGGGGAGGGCAGCGGGGCCAGCGAGGTGGGAGGCGTGGAGAGGGGTGCAGGGGAGAGGGCGGTGGGCGAGTGGGAGTACGCAACGAGCGCCGTGAGTGAGACGGTGACATTGACACACCGCTGCTGCCTTGTGCTGCTGCGCAGCCCCGACCTGCTGCTCTCGCGCCTCCTCGTCATGGTCTGCTCCCCCCTTTAACCCCACTTCTCCTCCCTTGGCACTCACTTCTTCTTCCCAAGCGACTTCTCTCGCTCCCTTTCTCCGCAGGCACCTCCTGCTCTGCTGCCGCTGCTACCTCTCACAGCCCTGCACGCGTTCACGCTGCCGCTCGTGCTTCTCGGGCTCTGCACCATTCCCACAGGCAGCCTCGCCGCCTCTCCACCACACCCACCCTCCCAGAGCACACCCTCCCCATGCATATGCACATGCGCGCATGGCAGGTGGCGATGGGGGTGATCATGGGGTCGCTGTTCCTGCATGTGGGCTTCGACATGCCTGGCCTGCAGAGCCGCTTTGCCGTGCTCGGCTTCACCATCGCGCTCGTCTTCTACAACTCCCTCGACGCCCTGCCGCTCTTCTACCTCGTAAGACGCCCTGCCCCTGGTCTGCCTGTCCACGCAACTGTATCCTACTCCTATGGAGTACAAGCTATCCCCTCTTCCCACCCATCTCCCCCTCCCCTCCTGCTGCCCACACCAAGAAAGCACCACCTTCACACGGGAGACCCCCAAAAGGACATAAAGCACAGCCCCATCCGTGTCTTTGCACTCGCATCACCTGTATCAGCCACCTCACTCCCACCTTCTATGAACGATCATCCCCTCTCCCCACCCCCCTCCCCCTCCCGTCCCCCATCCCACCCACCAGGAGCGAACCATCTTCACGCGGGAGACGTCACGAGGCGCGTACCGCACGGCGCCCTACGTGGTGGCCACCACGCTCACCACGCTGCCGCTCTGCGTGCTGCTGTCGCTCGCCCTCGCCACGCCGCTCTACTGGATGGTGGGCCTCGCGCCCTCCGCCTCCGCCTTCCTTGTCTTCATCGCCACGCTCTGCCTGGCCTTTGCGCTCGCCAACGCGTTTGTGACGCTGCTGTCGGCGCTGCTGCCGTCACACATGGTGGCGGCCACCGTGGCCAGCAGCGCCTTCTCCTTCTTCCTCCTCTTCAGCGGCTTCTTCTTCTCCAAGTCAGCCCCCTCCCCTCGCCGCCTCTCTCCTCACTGCCACTCCCTTGTCCTCACTCTTGTCCTCACTCTTGTCCTCACTCTTGTCCTCACTCTTGTCCTCACTCTTGTCCTCACTCTTGTCCTCACTCTTGTCCTCACTCTTGCCCTCTCACTGCCACCCACGGCTGCCCTCTCCCTGCTTATTTGCTGCATCCACTTCCCTTCTGTCACCGTGCCAGCAGCGCCTTCTCCTGCTTCCTCCTCTTCACCGCCTTCTTCTTCTCCAACTCTGCTTCCTTTGCCTCTCTCATGCCCACCCTTCTCCTTGCCGCCCTCTCACTGCCGCCCTCTCACTGCCGCCCTCTCACTGCCGCCCTCTCACTGCCGCCCTCTCACTGCTGCCCACTTACCGCTGCCTGCTCACGCCTATGTGTAACAGCTACTTCTCTCTTGCTCATCTTCATTTGCCCCTCCCTCCCTATCGCCCCACCCCTCCCACCAGGGCAGCCATCCCGGGCTACTGGCTGTGGCTGTACTACGTGAGCCTCATGCGCTACCCCATGGAGCTGCTGCTCTGGGCCGAGTTCCACCACGGCCTCGGCCCCACCTGCTTCTCCACCTTCTCCCCCGCCGCCGGTGTCGGCTACACCGCCTCCGGCACCAACGAGGCCTGTGGGCTCACGGGTGCAGCGTATCTGGACGCGCGGGGGTTCACAGGCTTGAGCCCGTGGCGCAACCTGCTGGTGATTCTGGCGTTCATCGCTGCGCTGCGCCTGGCTTTCTACGCAGCTCTCCGCCGACACGCTGCCTCCACCAGGAAGTGACCCCATTCTACACCACACCCCACCACACCCCACCACGCCACACCCCACCACACCCCTCCACCACGCGGCGCCTCCACCTCCGCCTTGGAGGCGCCTCAAAGGCCACTCTGCCTTCACCAGGAAGTGAACCACCTTGGTCCGGCCACGCTCCTCGTCCTCCTTTGCTGCATCCGCCTCCTCTGTTCCTCTGCTTCCTCTACTTCCTCTGCTTCCGCACCACCACTGTGCTGCGTCTTGCTCTCTCCGCCACTACGCCACCTCCTCCAGGAAGTGATGAGACTATCCTTTGCTTCCCTCTGACTCTTCAGCTCTGCCACTGTAGCCACCCTGCGTTTGCAAGCCATAATATGTATGCGGATCATTTATGAGTGTAGCTGTTTGATCGCGTGGGTATCGATATAGCATGCTATAGCACATTAAAAGTTGTACGGTATTCGGGGGTTTTCAAAACGTTTGCAAGACACACAAAGAATACCGTACAATAGTCTAGTGAGAGCGTCGCCAAGCGGAGTTGTTGTTCTGCACCTCACGTACACGTCAGTTGTTTTCTCAACCCTCGTCGCGCTGACTTGAGCGTGGAATGAAATACAGTATTACTATACCGTATTACCCCGGACACACCACCCGCCGAAATAGAGCACCCCCCGGGTGGCTTGTGCGGGGGGGGTGCTATAGCGGGCCTCATTTCTACTATACCCCCCTTTTGGGGCGATCCGATATAGCACCCGGGGGGGGGTTGTTATGTACGGGTAATATTGCAGTTTTTGCCTAAATAGCACTGGGTTAGCACATTCTGCCGAGCATTGCTCGAGTTCGTGGAATGGAGCCACTGCACAGAAAGAAGGATGAACTCCTTCTCAGTACAAGGACGTGACCGCCTCAGCGAGGCAGCTGAGGCTGTTGCGGGCGCTCCGCCTTTGTGACTGCATGAATCCTCGTCGAGCGACGAGGGGGTGTGTTTTCTGTCCAATCAGGGCCTGACTGTGGGCCTTGTTGGAGCTTGCAATGTGGCAGCTAACCCACGAGACTAACGTTATCGCCCAGTCCTCGGTTTTGCGCACCCAACCAACAATCTACCACCGCGTCAAACATGTACATTTTGTTCTCAACCTTTTGTGCTCTAAAAAAAATACCGTATCCCCCCGGATATACCCCCATGGGGGGCAATAATAAAACAGGTTTTTTCATGGGGGTGGGCTTATAATCGAGTAAATTTATAAGCGCCGGCGTTTATAAAATGACATACATATTTTTTTATATCTTTTAACACCAAACTGTAGGTCTCGTGCTTGCCTTTTCAATCGAGTCGAAGTTACATGGGATCGTCTGTGAAATTCTCGCGCGCGCTGGGAGATACACCCAATCTGACTCACATCCAGCTCCTGACAGGTCCTGCTGACTGGACCCGCATCCAGTGCAGGGTCCGAATGTGAAGGGAACCGAATCTGCAACATATCTGCCTGCTAAAGTAAAAATCGTTACAGCTTTTTGAACACATTTCAAATTTTAAAGTTTACGTGCGCTTATAATAAAACAAGTTTTTTCAAGGGGTGCGCTTATAATCGAGGAGGGGATATAAGCGCCATATGCCAATTAGAAGCGCCAGGCGCTTATCCTAGGGTGGCGCTTATATCCGGGGGGAGACGGTATACATTATGTAACGACCCGGGTGCAATGTAGCTTTTTCCGATGACAAGACCCCCCCCCCCCCTTTTTTGTGTAGTTATCATAGCACCCTAGGGTGGTATGTCCGGGGTAATACGGTACTCCACAAAAGAGCAGTTCGTATGTCCTTCCTTATCACATCCGAACCAAACAGTTGGAAGGTACGGCAAGCGTAACCTTGTGTCTAGCCAATCACAGCCCGAAGCCAGGGAGCAGGCCCTTTGTTTATCATGATACATTATCCTAAATTTCTTGAATTCAGGGAGTGAGGTGCGGTACGTACCACACATTAACTGCAAACTGTGTCAGATGTCTACTGGACATCCCCAATCGATCCTAGGGAAGGGTTACAGGCACGTTGGTCTGCGAGGTTACGGGCGCACTCACCCGCTACATAAACAAGCCATTTTATCACAATGGTTAGTGGCTAGGATTCTGACATGGTATCAGAGGTAGGTCTCGAGTTCGAATCCTGGTGTGTGCACCTTGGGCATCTTAGTGTGCGGGGGTGTCAGAGGTCCAATGGAGATCCCCGATTGATTCTAAGGAAGGGTTACTAGCACGTTGTACTTGAGGGGGTATGGGCGCACTCACTCGCTACACAAACAAGCCATTTTATCCCAATGGTTAGTGGCTGGGATTCTGACAAACTGCTGCGGAGTTGACGAGTCGTCGGGCTGTCAACAAAACGAAGCTATAAATGGTAGTCGGACTTCCCATCACGGACTATCCTTCCCACCTCCCAATGATAGCGACAGTCTTGTCTCGCTACTACGTAGATCGTGAACCGCTTCTTGTCACGCACTCGAATCGAAGCCTGCGTCCATACTTGCAGCTCCTAGCTATGGCTTTCAGGCCACTGCTTCTCGTCTGCTTCGCGCTCCTCGCAGTGATGTCCGCCTTCGCGCAGCGCGGCCCGCCTGGCGGAGGCATGTCCGGCGGTCAGGGGCCGCCATGGGGACCCCGCGGCGGAGGCCCTGGTGGGCACGGCGGACCTGGCGATGGCCCTGGCGGCGAGCCGCGCGGTCTGCCGCTGAACCTGACGGCTGTTGGCAATCTAACGGCAGACGTTGGCGCACAGGTGAAGAGCTTCTCGGCGAATCTGACGTTTGTTAACAAACGCTTCCACATCACTGTCTTCAAGTAAGGAGTCGCCTCCACCCCACCCCTGCTCTCGTTCTTTCCGCGGACTTATCGAGAACAAAAAACAATCATGAGCACGTCACTCAATGCGTGCGGCACAGAGGAGGCACTTTCGTCCCTTATCCTCCCACCGTAGTCCGACATCGCAAGTCAGGGGGATCGCGTTTCCAAATCGAAAACCAGTCGCAACTCATTTCTAGCGGTCGATCCCAACTGCATGCAGATATTGCAGTGCCTGTCTGCAAATGCAAGGCTTGAGTTTGGTACACGTGACCTGGTTTGTTGCTATAAGTATAATAGAATATAGGAATGCACATAATATAGGAAATCAAACATATATGTGCATGATAAATATAACCGAAGCTAGTAGTAGCAAAATAAAGTACAGGCAAGCTAGCAAAGCCAGCATAATGTCAAAACATTATATGCATTCTATCCCTCTAAAGTGTGTAGGGGTTATCCCTTACCTAATCCATCATACTTCTCACTAGTTTTTAAAAGGGCACACCGTGAAATTTCGCCTACTCGTCCGTTCTGCCCTGCCCGGCCAGTCGCGCTGCCCACATGGTGCCTAGCGCGCAATCTGAGCGCTTACTGCTGCACACGGACTGCCTGCTACTCTAGCGCGATCGCGCTGTCCTGCCCCACCCGCAATCGCGCTGCCATGCCCTGCCCTCGATCGCGCTGCCCTACCCTGCCCGTAATCGCGCTGCCTGCTGACTAGCGTATTGCCCGCCCGCGAGCGCTCTGCCTACCCGCAAGCGTCACTGCGCCCCTGCCCGCAAGCACCACTTTGCCCCTGCCCGCTCGCGCTGCCCGCCAGCAGCCTGCGCCCTAACCACGCACACCCTTCCTGCGCCATGCCCGTCCGCGCTGCCGCTGCTGTCATTTACGCAGCTACTACTACTGCATGCGCTGCTACTGCATGCGCTGTTGCTGTTGCTAAGGGTTGATGCTACTACTGCTGCTACACGCGCTACTGCAGCTGCGCTCTGCCCTGCCGAGCCCCTACCCGCCGTGCTCTGCTCCTGCTGCTGCCATCTGAGCTGCTGATGCCGCCTGTGCTGCTGCTGCTGCCTATGCTTCTGCTGCTGCTTTGCTACTGTCGCTTGAGCTGCTGCTGCCACTTACACAACCGCTGCTGCTGCACGCGCTACTGCTGCTAAGCGCACTGCTGCTACAGCTGTGCTCTGCCCTGCCTGCGCGAGTGCTGCCAGCTCGCAAGCGCCCCTACCCGCCAGCGCTGCTGCTGGTGCGCAGCTGCTGCCAAACGAGCTGCTGCGCCTGAGCTGCGCTGCCGCGCGCGCTGCTGCTTTGTCCCCTGCCGAGCCGCACTGCCCTACGCGAGCTGCGCTGCCCTGCCCCTACTGAGCCGCACTGCCCTGCTGCTGCTGGTGCTACTGCTACTGCTGCTACTGTTACTGCCACTGCTACGGCTGCTCCTGCTACTATGACTACCGTTTCGGTTCTTAGCTTTAATGCGAAGGGTCGCCCGATTAGCTTTGAGGTGTGGCTCGATGATCTTCAGCTGTACTTGCAGAGCGAGGCTAGGGATGGCGTTTCTTTGTTCACACATACGTCCGGATCCCTCGTAGCCCCAGCTGATACAGCGCACGCGGACCATTCAAAGTGGCTCATACATGACGCTACTGCCCATATTGCTGTTCGCAACCACCTTCCAGTAGCTGAGAGAGCGCATTTTAGCAAGAAGAAGACAGCCAAAGCCATATATGACGTCTTTGTTGCTCGTTACTCCTCCCCAGTTACTACTACCCCAGGCCGTCTCATTCTGCCGTACCTCTTCCCTGAGCTCGCAGATTTCCACACTGTCGCTGACCTCATGACCCACCTTTACTCTAGTGAGACTCGGTACAGCACCGCCCTCAAGCCGACCTTCTCTCTGCGACCCCCCCTGTACTTTCTCGTCACACGCCTCCCTGACTCCCTCCGCATTGTTTGGGACCACTTCCTCGCCCTAGACCTTACTGAGCTTTATATCACCCTGTACTTCCTCGTCACACACCTCCCTGACTCCCTCCGCACCGTTTGGGACCACTTCCTCGCCCTAGACCCTACTGAGCTCACACTTGCATCGCTGGAGAAGTCCCTCCTCGAGGCTGAGGCCAGTACTGTTGCTGTCGCTGCCTCTCGTGGCACTCCCCGCTCCCCCGTTTTTTAGGGGTGTGCTCCCT